TCTCTTGAACAGGTAAGACTGGCAGGGGCAAATTCTGCATATAATCAAAAGTTATTCCTAAAATATCGGGGCGCTCCTTGGACAATTTCTCTACTTCTTGAAGTTTATTATAAAACTTTTTAGCTCGCCTTTTATGAACAATAAGTTCTGCTGCACAAGCCTTTCTGGCGATATCTTTTAAACTGTTATCTCTTAATCTCGTACCGAGTCGCTCACATTCACTGCAAACATCTACTTGTGGTCTTCCAAACTTCAAAGAATAATTGTCATTAAAGAATTTTAAATAAAAATCATATTTTATTTTGTTTTCTAATTCAGGATGTTTCTTAAAAAATAGTTCAAACATAATTTTTACGTTAAGCCTTGAGTCTAGATAGTGAATGTCTTTTGTATTATAATGTGAAATTTTATAAGGAAAAGAGTCAATGTGTATTTTTATTTTAAGTCTAGATTCTTCTGTAACTGAGGTAGGTCTATTATTGTGCTTTCCTCGCATATCTTTAGGAGATTCTCCTTTACCAAGTAACAAATTTAAGCGCTGGACACGAAAGTGACTTATTGAATATAAATTCATAAATGCTTGTTTGCATACCGGCACCCGTTCGTTACAATTCCTAACAAAGTATCGAAACGATGCAGATTTAGCTTAGCGTTGTTTTGATCTGCATCACGTTTGCGATGTCTCGCAATGGGTTTTGTTTCAATTAAACTTTGAAGAAAAGTATCCTGTTCATTTTTTGGTTTTCCGTCGTATAAATTTGAGATTATCAAACTTTTTTCTTCGTCAGTAAATTTGCTTGTACATTTTCTTTTACAACTATTAAAGGTTTAACACATAAGTATAAAATTGTATTTGAAAAAATTAAAACCTACCTACATGGTGGTCCAGTTCTTTTTTCTTTTACAACTTTCCCAGATGTAGACATATAAGACTCACCACGCTGACGTGCAAACTTTCTTTTATTAATTTTCCATTGTTCTGGATTTTTGCTACGTTTCTTACCCTGTATTGTGTCATTGTGTCGCTACTATCAGACGATGACATTGTGTCGTACCTAGGCTGGTAATGGCCTTAAGTACGCACTATAGGGTCTCTCTAGTTCTTCGACAGAGAGAATACCTACCTCGAGTAACTTTTCAGTGGAGAAATAGGGTTTGAGAATCAGTTCAGGTTTTGTGGTTTAATTTAAATGCCAAAATAACTTAAACTTGTTTATTCTATCATAGAAATATATACAATATATACAAAATCATAAGTAAAAGATATATACATAAAATAAAAGGTCTATCGTAGACGGGTATTATACAATACTATGTGTGCAAACAGGTCAATATTTCGTTCTTGATACCCCAAAAGGCAACAGGCAGGTACAGGCTCCGTTTTCCTCCACAGACAGGCAGGTTCACTTGCAACTGGGGCTATAAAGAAGAAATATTTAATGCACAATATATAAATGAGGTTATGTTCACTGGGATGTTAAATGTAGATAAATTATTAATTACAGGACGGGTGGCAGGATAGCAAATAGGTTAAATACGGCATACAAGCTCAGCATAAAAGCCCAGCATACAAGCCCCAGGTTAACCTACTGTTTTATATCACTAGAAACTATAGTCCTTGTGCATTCGAGTATCGGTATTGGTTCTTCCATCCAGTATTAGACCAGTCGGAATTTGAGCCACCAATAGACTGATTTTAATAATGTCCAAATCCGCCTTTTATAGCTAAAACTTGCACAAAGAAATAGTCTAAAAACAACATCATGTCGTTCTGCTCCATTGGGTTGTTAAAATTAGTTGTTTTAGTACATGGTACGGCATCTGTTGGCCGGTGGATGTACTATCTCTTGCAGGTAACAGAAAACTTCGGTGAATTACTAATGGTTCATCACAACATTGTTGTATTTTACACTCAAACAGCATGAAATACCAACTGACAGCTGTCATGAGCATGACCACCTTAAACTTTTACTATGTTTATAATGTCCATAATCAACGACATTTGTTGGGAATAAGAACAGTGACAAACACCTTAAAGAGCTAGTTTTAATAATGTTCTTTTACTCCTTTAATGCCGCTTTGCATTTAAAACATAATGGCTATTTCAGATAAAAATGTCAAATTTTGGACTTGTACTGTTTTTATTCTCACCGATTCATTTAAAAAGTATACCTAAAAAATGGTGTAAAATTCAAAAATACAAAAAACACAGATGTTTCAAAATATTTTAATACATTCTGGGTGTTGCATGCAAGTATCGCAAGCATATTTCAAATTTTAGGAATTGGAAACATTTTTTGCTTAAAATTCTGTTTTAAATTAAATATAGCCTAAAGGTTTTATAACAAGTAAATAGCTTATAATTATAGCTATTTACTTGTTATAAAACCTATCTATAGGTTATATATAAGGTACCTGCAGTCAATTTGCCATGCAGTCAATATGGCCAAGAGCTTTTATTTTAAAAATTATAACGGTAGATGGTGATATGGTTATTTAGTTAAATGAAACATCTGACTAGGGCAGCCGCTAAAACATATGACATTTACGTATGTAATGTTCAAAATACATGTATGCAATTAAAACTAAGATATTAAAATTTAACTCATACCTTTGTAAGGCAATATTACCTTTACGAAAATTCCATTATTTAGAGGGATGGCCATTGGCCACTGATAGAAAATACAAAACATTTTGCTAAATTTTAGTTAAAAAATCAAATATGTACCTTAGCATGGCCATATTGGCTGCAGCTACCTTAGTTTAAAACAGACTTTAAAACAAAAAATATTTGTAATTCCTCAAATTTAAGTTTTGTTGCTTGCGATACTTTGGCAGAAAGTCATTAATATTACAGTTTGTCAATTTCTTTCAGCAACCTGTTGAGTGATGCCCCGGCGCAAAGTACCTCGTAAAATATACAGGCAGGCGAATGCCGCAGCAAACATTGTTTTAAACAATATAAGCAATATAGACTGCAACCCGGGATGTTGAGACTGTTGAAAATCGCCAGGAAAGTTCTTTTGACAGCAATTCTAGCGTGGATAGTTATAAATCCGAGTTTCTCTGTAATAATTTGGAACAAGATTGTGAAGAGGTCTGTTCTGGCGATAATTCTTATGACCTGTGTCCAGATGTTATTTTTAATAATGTTTTAAATTGTCAATTAACCAAGTCGAACTTTACTTCTGGTTCTAAGAGTGATTCTACTTCTGCGCGACAACAATTAGCTGATTGGGCTGTAAAATTTTGTATTACGCATGTTGCTATAAATGGATTATTATCTATTTTAAAGTCATTCAATTTAGATGTACCCATAGACTCGAGAACTTTATTGAATACCCCAAGAACTACAGATATTCAAATTGTTGAACCAGGAACATATTATGGTATTGCTTCTGCTGTTAAAAAACTCATATCTAAATTCAAAGAAGCTTGTTTAAACTCCATGAATATTTTTGTTAACATCGACGGACTTCCAATATCTAAGAGCAGTGGTATGTAATTTATGTGAGAATCCTCGCACTGTAGAAATTATTGGAGTGTATCACGGAAATAATAAACCAAAAGTTGCTAATGATATTTTAAAACAATTTGTTGATGAAGCAGTTCTTTTAACTAATGAGGGATTACTTTTTAAAAATGTTACCTACAAATTTAAAATAAAAGGTGTGATATGCGATGTACCCGCCAAATCTTTTATTTGCTATACAAAAGGGCATTCGGGTTACAGTTCGTGCTCAAAATGTTTTACAGAAGGAGATTCAATCAATCATCGCGTTTGCTTTCCCGATACGGACTGCTTAAGGAATAGGACAGATGCCAGCTTTCGTCAAAGAATTGATGAGGATTATCATACCGGTAACTCTCTCCTTGAATTAATTCCTGGCTTCGATATGGTAGATGACATACCACTAGATTATATGCATCTAATCTGCTTGGATGTTATGAAAAAACTATTATGCCTATGGATTTTCGGAACCCACCTACAAAGTTACCATACCAAAAGATTAATACAATATCTCAAAGGTTAGTGTCCCAAAAAAAATTTATTCCTTGCGAGTTCCCTCGGAAGCCACGCTCTTTGTGGAAATCAAGCGATTTAAAGCAACCGAGTTCAGACAGTTTTTAGTTTATACAGGACCTCTAGTGTTAAAATCTGTTTTACCGCCTGATATGTTTAAGAATTTTATGTGCTTTCATATTGCAACAACAATTTTCTCCAACAATGTGTCTCTTCAATCTTATGGCGATTACGCCCATTCTTTAATGACCTATTTCGTTAAAACTTTTATTATTCTATATGGGGCAGAAAACGTGTCGCATAACGTGCACAATTTGCTTCATGTTTTTAAAGACACTCAGAGATTCGGGATTTTACAAAATTATTCGGCATTCCCATTCGAAAATTATTTGCAAGGTCTTGAACCCTTAGTAAGGAAACATGAAAATCCCTTGGCTCAAATTATTAGAAGAAAAGTTGAAATGGACAGGCTTGATATGGCTCAATCAAAAATTTCTTTAACATTATTTCCTATTGCTGCAGAAGAGCACAATGAAGGACCGACATACAATTATGGATATGACACTCAATACAAAGAAGTTCAATTTCAAAATTTTACACTAAAGCTATCCAATGCAAACAATTGTTGTCGTTTAAAAAATAAGGCGGTTGTTTTAATAAAAAAATTTATCAGCCACAATAATACGCTATATATCATTGGACAAGAATTTAAAACGCTAGAAAACTTATATTCAGAACCCTGTAATTCCTCGATTTTGTACGTATATCTTGCAAGCAATTTGGGGCCATCCACAAGATGGACAATAGGTGAAATTGATTTCAAATACGTTAAACTACGCGCACCTGATGAAAAATTAACTCCTCTATTGCATTCTCAAGAATAGAAAAACCTTACTGGCTTATACCCCATACTCTAAAGACAAATTTCTTTGTTTCAACAATAAAACTTCTTCAGCCTATTAAATAATATATTATCATGGACACATGGACTGTGGTAAGATTTCCGGAGGAAAACACTGTAGAAGTGGTTCCCACGGTGTGGTTAAATAAAGGCATGTGCTACTGGCCTCCCTATACTGAGGCACAACTAAAAGATGCCATTGGAAAACAGGAATCCCCTGAACCGGAATGGAGCCAATATCAATTCACACATTTACGGAACAACGTATTTGGTAAGTTTTGTTTTCAGATACAGATGGTAACTAAAATGCCCTTACTTAAAATATTATATTTTGTTTGTTAAGATTCCTTCTCGAAAGCATGTTCAAAAGCCACAAAAGCTCAATACCAGTCGGACCTTGAGTCACAGGATGAAAATACTCCAGGAAACGTAAACGTTTTGTAAAAATTTTTTATTCATCCTCTTTCGAGGAAATGGAAGAAAATTCATCAGGAGGGCTACCAAGCCCCCCTAGGTTTCCAAAAACATCCAAGAAGAATGGTTAGTACAAAATAATACAATAAAAAATCATAGATTTCTAGTTTACTACATTTATCCAATAGTGTCAAAGACTCAACCGCTTGTGCCTTTACTGATACCAACTTCACCAGAACGGACTTTACCTGCTACAATTCTACCGGTACCAACTTTACCTGTACCAATAGCTTCATCTTTAAAACCTAATTATAAAGGTCTGGAGCGTAAGTAAAGAAATATTTCTATATAAGTACAACACGTGTTTATACTTAATTGTATAACTTTATTTTAGGTTATAAAACTGCAGCAGTTCAGCCACATCCAACTGAAGATTCGAAGGCTAAACCAGATCTGTCAATCACTTATATGATAAAAATTGTAAAAGATTTGGCACTGTTAAAACGTATGGTAGCAGAACTTGCCGAAAAGATCGAGAGTCTTGAGCACAAATTAAAACATAAACCAGATGAAGAGGAAGCCGAAGAATCAATGTTCACAAATTTAAATCTACCAGTGAACTCTGATGATGATATGGAGGTTCTAGAGCAATATCTTTTGGATCCTAATAACATGAAAGCAGCGGTAAGGTTACTTACTCTAATAATTTAAATACTATATGAAACAAATATTTATAGATTCGACAGCTTTGTTCATTTGGAGGGAAAACCATTTATGAATTTATTTATCGCGCCAGCGAGAAAATAATTACAAACTAGTTAGGATCGACATACAGTCTCCTTGGAAGAAAAAAGAAGAGGGTTTTTAAACAATTAAAACTTTTTGAGTTATTAATGCAAGTTTAACTTACTCATGAGTAAGTTAAACTTGCATATTTTTAACAATCAGCCCTATTCACTAAGCGATTTGTTAGAAAATCGTTAACTTAACAATCTTTTTAGAGTTTTAGTTTAAAGTTTAAACCATTTATTGGTGTTTAAAATTATTATTATTATTAAAATTAATATTATAAATGGTTTAAACTTTAAACTAAAGCTCTAACAAGATTGTTAATAATTCACTTCTGTGGCCATGAAACAAAAGCTGGGGTCTTGCCCTAGCAAGGGTTGGGTCAAGTGGACCCTTTGCCCTTACCGTGGAGTTACAGGAGATTGAGTTGGTAGAGTGTTTCATAAGAAACAAATTCTGGAGAGGTGAGGATGGTATTTGGGGGGGAAGTATTGGGTCCGCCAGCGGCCATTACTTTATCTTGCAGGGGGATGGGAACAAACTATCTATAATAAGTTAGCTGCTCCCATCGTCTGCATTGAAGAGTCATGGTGTTTTGTCCTGAAAGAAATTTATTTGTCGTTAGTAGAGGGTGGGAGATCGAGACATGCTTGTTGATTTTATTTTGAATTTAGTTTTAATTTATCTCAGCCTTTAAAATTCTGTAAAACTATTTGTTTTCAGACTTTTATTTTATTTTGTATTTTTAGAAAGTAAGTAGATTCTTTGTAGAATCTGTCTGTAAATGGAGTAAGTTGTTGACTACTTTGTTAACTGATTACTGAAATATTGTTTTATGCATGTCTCGTCTCCTTCTTTTTTGACATAGGCTGGTTGATCTTGGCAAAAGCAAAAGCTGAAGAATTAGCAACAAAGCAAAAACAAGGCAAGGGTAGAAACAGAAAAAGGAGAAAAGGAGAGATTTAGGGGGGCCTAAGGTTGGAAATTGTCCCTCTGATGCCACGGTATAGGCGTCGGTCGTCTGGGTTATAGTTCAGGGCACTATGCAGTGCGCTGTTTTCTATATTCTCCGCTCTTTCTACCGTGGCAAGAGTCATCTGCTTAATGTAGGAGATAATAGGTTGTAGGCCTAGTTCCTCCCTGATCTGCCCATTTCTGACGAACCATGGGGCCCTTGTAATGGTTCTTATTTATTTACTTTGCGCAACTTCCAGCCTTTTGAGGTGTATTTTTGCCGCCGTTGACCATGAGGATGCTGCGTACATAATGATTGGGCGCAGTATGGCTGTTCAAAGTGTAATTTTGGCCTTGAGGGTTAGTTGTTGGTTGGAGTATAGCGGTCTTAGTGCTATACTAACTTTGGCCACTTTGGTCAGCGCGTTATCAATGTGGGCTCTCCAGGTAAGCTTATCGTCCATAGTAACTCCCAGGTATTTTACTGTCGATGTCCATGCGATTTGCTGGTTTTGGTATGCAAGGGGAGCTGGTAGCGAGCCACCCTTTTTAAATAAAATGGCTAGTGTTTTTTCGGGATTAATTTTCACCCTGTACCTGTCTGCCCAGGAGCCAACTCTTCCTAGGGCTTTTTGAAGCTTATCCCGGGTGAAGTGAATATTTGACCCTTTGTACAGCAGGGCTGTATCATCAGCATGTGTGCGGAAGATCTGCCATGAAGATGTTAAAAAGGGTGGGCCCCAGGACTGATCCTTGGGGCACTCCGGCATTAATGTCATGAGGAGCGGAGATAGCTTCTTCAACTTTGGTATTGAATTTTCGATCCGTAAGGTATGACGCAATGAGCTTGACAATAGGGGGGGCGATGTCCATGTTGATCATCTTGATCAGCAGCCCCGTGTGCCATACCTTATCGAATGCCTGGGATATATCAAGCAAGACCATGCCCGTTCTTTGCTTGAAGTCGTAGCCATGGTTAATGATCTCCGTGATTCTCATAACCTGCAGCTCAGTAGACAGTTGACGTCTGAACCCGAATTGTTCCTCAGGGAGCACTTTTTTGTCTTCTATCTCGTCATCCATCCTGATTTTAATTGCCTTCTCCACCACCTTGGCCAACGATGATAAAAGCGATATCGGCCTGTAGTTTTTGAGGTGCCGCCTAGATTTTTTGTTCTTTGGGATTAGGATAACCAATGCTTGCTTCCAGATTGACGGAAAGTGGGTAGTGTGAAAGATCCCGTTTATGATCGTTTGGAGGTTTAACATTGCTTGTGGGGGAAGTCTTTTTATAGCCATGTTTGGTACGAGGTCATGGCCTGGGGCGATCTTATTTTTGAGTCCCTGTATTATATTCTGGACTTGCTCCAGGTTCATGGGGGCAATGGTTTCCTCGTAAGGATCTTGCAAGAATTCATTTACAAAAAGCCTCATCCTTTCATCTTCTTCCGCGTGTTTTGGGAGGGGGGGGGAGGCTTGAATTGGTCCTCGAGGTGTTTTGCAAAACATGCCGCTTTCTCCTGGTTTGTGAATATGAGTCCGTCAGGGCTCTGCAGTGGCATGTTTTTTGCCGGCTCGTTTGTTTTGAGTCGCCGGATTATTCTCCAGAGTTCCTTGTTGTCTTTTGGGTCAAGATTTTCCAAGATCTCTTCCCATTTACTGCTACGATTTTCTTGCAGAGCCCATTTAACCCTTCTGGCCAGCCTGTTGTACTCATTTCTATCCTGCGGGTGGCGAGTACGTTCTGCCCTCTTCTTTGCCATCCTTTTTTGATTTATAAGAATTTTAAGCTCCGGTGGGATTCTGTACGGACTTGCGATTGAGAACGTGCGTGTGGTCGTGGATTGGTCCAGAGCTTTAGTAATACAAGAGGTCAGCATTTGAGCTTGAAGTTCAACCTCATGTGGACTGAGGCCCTCAGTCTGAGGGGGGGGAGGGTAGGGCGGGCTGGAGAGTGAAGCAAGACGGTTATATTGGGGCCAGTTGATTTTTTTGATGTTTTTTACGTTTGGGTTTTGCTGATATGGGCCAAGATGAATTAGCACCGGGCTATGATCAGAGGTGGAGCCTGTTTGTGTTTCTATGGTTATGTTATGTAAGTAGTTTTTCGTTAAAGCTATGTCGAGAATGTCTGGGGGATGGTTTGGTCTTGAGTAGGTTGGGTCAACCGGGCCCATGGAGTCCCAGCCATGGTCGTTTAGAAGTAAGAAAAGTTTTCTGCCATTTGGATTTATCGTGGCACTGTTCCAGGAGGTGTGCTTGGCATTAAAGTCTCCAGCCAGTAAGATGGGAATGTTCTCCTGGAGGGTGCTGGTGAATTCATTTGCCGGAAAAGGTCGGAGAGGAGGAAGATACCCAGCTATTACCTTGAGTCGACCAGCAAAGGATGTTTCCACATAGACTCCGGTGACCTCCAGGGTGGAATTTGGTGGAGTAGGGCATGCGCAGTGTTGAATGTTATTTCTTACTAGGATCATTACACCACCACCACCGTTCTGCGCCGGCCTGGGTTGTGAGTAGACTTTATACCCAGCAAACTTAGGGGTGTAATCCATCCTGATCCGGGATTCGGTGATCAGGACTGCGTCTGGGTTTTGCTCAGAGATAAGGGCTTCGAGTTCTAGTTTTCTTGTTTTTAAACCATTGACATTCCAGAGAATTAGATCGATTTTATTTGCTCTCGGGTTTGCTGTCATTTAACGTTGTTCTATGTTGAGTGCCTTCAAAAGATTGGAGATTGTGGTGTCTTGCTCCGCTAGCCTGGAGTCAATTTTGGTGGTGAGGCCGTTGATAGAATTAATCAGCATGGACAGGGAATTGGAGAGATCAGTTTGGTCGGCTTGTTGGACTTGAGTTTGTGCTGATACTGGGCGAAGAACCTGGCTGTATGTTTTGATACCTCTTGCGGGTAAGGATTTTGCGTTTGAAGATGAAGTGGAATTTCTGCCTGGGGTGGTTGGTGGAGGGGATTTTATGTTGGGGTTTTTGGCACATACTGGGGCATTCGCCGTGTGGGCCCTACCGCAGTTTGCACATTTTGGTGTGGTCTCCAGTGCCTTGGTGCAGTCCCAGGTAAAGTGGTCTCCAGCACATTTCACACATTTGGGATTGGCAGTGCATTTGGACTGCGCGTGTCCAAAACGCTGGCATCTGAAGCATTGGGTGATAACTGTGTTTATTGCTAGAGGCTCTACCTTGACTCGGATTCTACATAGGTAGGCCAGTTCATATATTCTTTCCTCTTTCAAAGGTAACTTTACTAGGACTAACGGCATTTCGACTTAATTTTACCTCTCTTCATTCTTGCCACAGTAATGGGATTATAGCCATGATCTTCAAGGTCTTTTTTGACGTCTTGGATCTTCAGTTCTAATGGAAGACCTCTGATTACTGTCTGCAAGAGTTTTTCATCGGGTAACATAAAAGTGTGGTATTCTTCTTTGTTTGTGTCAAAGAATTTTGTAATTTTTCTGTAATCGTCTTCGCTTGAGGGAAAGAATTTTATACCGTCCGAAGTATTTATGGCTTTTGAGAATTTGAGTCCTTGTTGGTCTAGAATTGCCGAAACCATGGTCCATCTTGCCTTCTTTCGTAGTATTATTGGCGGTATCTTGGGAGTTTTAATTTGTGGGGTTTTTTCAGGTTGTGTTACCGTGGATGGTGGGGGAGAAGGAGGTACATACTGAACTGAAGCCGAAGATGAAGATGGGAACGATTGGCGATCTGTTGAGTTTACCATGGGTGGGGCCGGAGGTAGCGGGGGATAATGGTCTGATTCACCTTGATTTTTCACTGCTTGATTATCGGTATCATTTTGTGCCTCATTACCTTGGGTTGTGCCTGGGGCTACTTGAGAGGGGGTGATATTTGTCGTGGCTGGACCTGTAAGTGATGGTGCTGCAAGTTCTAATTCTTCCAAGTCTTCCGTTTCTTGCAGGCCTGCTGGATTGAGTGCCTCATTATTTTGTGTCATTGGATTAATACCAGTTGTTTGCGTGTCATCCGGAGTTTGGGTTTGCAGGTTTCCGCTGTTTTTTCTCCTTCTCTTCTTGTTGTTGCCATTCATGGTATGTAGGTCAGCTTGCATTTCCTCAATTGTTGCCGTGAGCTTGGTGATTTGGCTTTGTAAGGAGGTTATTTGTTCCGCGCTTTTCATTAAAAGTTCGGTTTGCCTTTCAAGCTGGTTAGTAGGGCTGCCTACTGTGGCAGTTAGTCTGTAGTTTTCTTTTTGTAGGCGGTTTATCTCATCGTTACTTTGAATTATTGTTGAGTTTGTGTTTTCTGCATTGGCGTTGTCAGTGTGGGTTTGTGGGAAGAGTTTATGAATTGCGGCTGCAATTGTAGGTGAAATGCTCTTCGTGCCTGTAGTGTCACTCGAATTTACAGCAGTTTTGTCCATATTGTTTGTTATTGGCTCTTGATGAGTTGGGTCAAATTTTATGGGGTTGCTTTGTTTTGGCCTTCTATTGGCCTTGGTCAATGATTTGTCTTTATCACCCTTTTTAGGGGTTCGTACGATTAGTGATGATTTGTTGAACACATCCGGGGCTGGGGTGATATTTGAATTATTGCTCATTTTGGGGGGGGGTTGGAAATATTCCAGGGGGTAAAATGGCTAGAATTCAATAGGGTAGACGAAAATATGGGACAGGCACAGTGTATATAACGATAGAAAGTGGTAAAAATAGGGGTTGAAATAGTTTGGGATCAAGAGTTGCACCCAACTGTATAACTTGTGTCGTTCAGTCTTCCGTCCGTACCGTTTGAACTACCTTATGCAGTTGTCGAAGCGAGGCTGTGAATACCCTTACGGAGGGTCAAACATGGACAAGTCCCGTGATAGACATTCAGTGCCGCGGGCAAAATTTAGTGTTAAGTGCTTTAATCGATACGGGAGCGGACCTATCTATAGTGGCAGAGAAATACGTGGTGGATTACGTGCAACGCCCGCGTCAAGTGTTAACGGTCGGCGGGAATTATTTAACTATTCTCGGGTATAGCCGGCTATACTTTAACATTCAGGGACGTGCGTACTCGTTTACCGTGAATGTGGTGGAAAAATTGCCGTACCCAATCATCTTAGGAATGGACAATTCGCCACAGATACTCTGCATTACTTGGGATATCTTGTGGAAGGAAAATTTACCAAGCCCAGAGAGTGCCATCTATTAAAAATAAAGAACTTTGACAAGCCCAAGAATAAACGACAAGTACAAGCGTTTTTGGGACTTGTTAACTGGCTCCGAGGTTATATTCCGGACTTGGCAACGATAATTGCACCATTAACGCAATTAACCGGAAAAAACGAGACTTTCAAGTGGACCAAGGAATGCGAGGAAAGTTGGACTCGAGCGAAGCAAAGCCTTGAACGAACACACAAATTGGAACGACCGCATCGGGGATGGAAGTATGTGCTCCAGGTCGACGCATCAGAACACGGTATGGGAGCCGTGCTGATGCAGGAAGATCTGAAAGGCGAGAGACATATTATCCATTTCAGTTCTGCTAAGTTTCACCCAAATGAACGAAACTACCATATCAATGAAAAGGAGTGCCTTGCCATGGTTTGGGCAATCCGACGTTATCGCCCATACTTGGAGGACCAACATTTTACTCTACGGACGGACAACAAGGCGCTCCTGTGGCTGCAGAACCACCACGATGACCGGGCCAAGTTAACCCGGTGGTCACTATTACTACAGGAGTTCTCATTCACGGTAGAACACGTCGCGGGAAAAGATAACCAGCTACCCGACTACCTGTCAAGAAATACAGCAGAACTCGATGGCAGCCCACCTATTCAGTATAATGAATTGATTCCAACGCCAATGGTATGTGCAATTCAGAGTGAACCCCTTGTAAAGGCCATTCTTCAGGGACAATTAGTGGACAACGTGACCCAGGGCCTCGTGCGCCGGATTAAGCAAGCAGAGCAGCATGGTCCTCGAGATGCCATCGACAGGAGTTTAATGGCTAATTTCATCATCTCCACAGAAGACAACCTATTCCAGCAGCGGGGCGACGGGTCTTGTCGGGTATATGTGCCCGAAGGAATGCGAGACCAAGTAATGGAGCAGTACCACGCAAGCGACCAAGGCGCACACCCGGGGCAGAAGGAAACTTTGCGAGCGATCGACCAGAGGTTCCACTGGCCTAAACTGCGGTCCAGCGTCCTTAAATATGTACGAGACTGCTTGGTCTGCAGACAGATCAAGGGACGCAACATTCAAAAGGCCGCTCCGATGACCACACCGTCCCCCACGGGAGTGTGGCAGACCATATCCATCGATACTCTGGGACGCTACCGAGGAGATGGAATACAACCAGAGTACGCGATTGTAGTCGAAGACATCCTCACAAAGTGGACTGAAGCCATCGCTGTGAAGGATGTACGACACAAGACCATCACTACCTATCTAGACGACTTATTCATGAAGTACGGTGTTCCGGAGAAAATCATCGCCGACTGTGCCTCGCAGTTTACGTTCCTTAAATGGCAACGTTTCTGCCGTAAGAGGGGCATTGAGATGATCAATTCCGCAGCATACCATCAAAGAGCCAACCCGGTGGAAAGACAGGTGCAGGAAATAAAGAAAATTCTCCGGGCCTTGATCAAACATCATCAAGGCCGAGAAAAATGGTACCACCTGTTACCACGGGCAACAGCGGTTCTGCGTTCAAGAGAAAACCGTTCGACTGGCGAGACACCGGCTAAAGCGTTCTTGGGGTTCGAGCCAAAGCTACCCGGAGACTGGTTCATCCCATTAACAAATAAGGTCCGACAGGAGAGAACCCAGCATGATCAGCAGCTACGACAACGTCGCCGAATCTTTGCACGTGAATACGTCGGAAACCCAGATGATGTACCCGTGGCATTCGCGAAAGGCGATATGGTGCTGATCCGCAACCATGATCGAGGAGTCTTCGGAGATCCCTGGAAGGGCCCTTTCCGGATCCTAAGAAGAACGTCGCCGGTCATCTACGAAGTCGAGACAGAAAACCGACACTCAATATTGCATGTGGATGATTTACGGCCCGCTCCAAACACATGAGTTTGGATGTAAATTGTATGTAAATTAATATTAAGTTAGCTTTAGTTAGAATTAGTATTGTAAATTAGGTTAGTTAGATTTAGGGTAGATTTAAGTTTGTAAAAGTAATATGTTTTTTTTTTGTAAAATAAAGCGAGGCTGTGATTGGTCGAAAAGTTCGCTATCACTTTGCACCAATCAGGTGCCTGCAAGTGATAGGTATATTTTTCGACGGCCTCACCTTCTATATAAGGGTAGCGTGACCGCTACCCAGTCACTCTACGATCAGCCAGCCTAACCTTCACATCGTGCCAAACCATTGAAGCTAAGTTGAACTGTGAGTTTTATTATAAAAGAACCAAGGTCCTTGTTAGGACCCAGGTCACAAAAACCAAAAGAACCAAGGCCTTGTAAAGGACCCAGGTCAAAATAAAAAGAAACCCTCCGGTACCGACCAGGCGATGTCGACACCCGGAGCGCCAGCAACCACTCCGACCGGCTCCACCGAGAACCACACACCGATCTCGCTGAGACGACAACCCTGGACCCGGGCTCTAGCGAAATCTTTGCTGGCCCAAGCCACCTCGGACAGCGTACCATCGGCCACCGAGATGACACATGCTGGATCAAGCACCGCGCAGGTGACCGAGAACGGTCCACATGACGAGGCAGCTACCCCGAAGACCGAGACGTTTGAAGGCACGTCCGGGGCCCCACCGACTACTACCCGGACCACTTCAAACCATCAACAAGAGCATTCACAACACAGTGTCGAAACGGGCCTCAGTCGCTGCTTGCACCTGATTGGCTCCACATCGTAGCGAATCAGAGTACGACAGAGGTCCGTTCGTCTATATAAGAAAAGACAGGTGGCTTTTCAAATCAGTCTCTCTTGAGCTTCTCAAGAGGAAAGTCACCAGTCTCCCTGGCAACATAGACAAACCGTCGACTTACCACACTATCTACTGTTTTATTTACGATCTGGTTAACCCACCGACTGTTCCTGCCCAAGCCCTGTGAACAGGCAAAAGCTGTTCTTTTTAGAACACGGCAACGGCGAAGACCCGGTGGTATCCTCCAGCGAGTAGCTGTCCAAGTCCTGAGTGTAGGCAAAAATAGTTCTTCTTAGAACAACCCCTATTCCCGGATCTCGGAGAAATGGTCTACGAGATGGCGGAGCCATGACGGAAATCTTCGCCGGAATGTTGAATAGGTATGTAACAGTCTACTTGGATGACATCATCGTGTACTCTGAAACGTACGAAGACCACGTAGAGCACCTGAAACGAGTATTGGAGAAGATCGAAGTTCATCAACTCAGGCTAAATCCAGAAAAATGCAAGTTCGCCACGTCACGATTGCCTTACCTGGGATATGAAGTTGATGGGCAGTTCACTCGAGCTCGAGAGTGCCATTTGTTGAAGATAAAGAACTTCGAGAAGCCCCGAAACAAGCGCCAGGTCCAAGCCTTCTTGGGGTTGGTCAATTGGTTACGCGGTTATATCCCCGATCTGGCCGCGCTGGTGGGACCATTGACTGACCTGACGGGGAACGAGAAGTTCAAGTGGACACAAGAAGATCCAGAAGGGGCCAGGCATTTGATTCATTTCAGTTCTTCCAAGTTTATGAATGACGTACCCACAATTGAACAAATAAGCTACGCACTATACGCCGACGATACGGCCTTCTACGCGTCTAGCAAAAGAGAGGACGATATAGCCAAATGGCTCCAAATAGCTCTTGACAACTTTGAAGACTGGGCCTCATGCTGGCGCGTGAAGGTCAACCCAAACAAAACCCAGGCCATCCTCATATCACAAGGAGGAAGAACAACTCCAAGGAGACTGGAGTTCGGAGACACAACGATTGAATGGGCTGACAGCGTAAAGTACCTGGGTGTAACAATTGACAAGAGACTTACCTGGAAAAACCATATAGAGACCCAAAGAGCAAAGGCCATAAACCTTATAAAAAGACTAGAACCAGTTACCCATCCAAATAGTCATCTGGACTTACGAAACAGACGCCTACTCTGGACGTCTCTAATAAGACCAACCTTCAGCTATGCTACGGCTACCTGGATTACCGCTGCTAACTCTCACATAATAAAGTTAGAGAGAATTCAGAACAGATTCCTTAGACGCATCTGCGGCGCCCCCTGGTTCGTTAGAAACAGTCAAATACGAAACGACCTCAGACTAGAACCCCTGAAAGAACATCTCAGGGCAAGAACCGCCGCTACCATCGAAAGATGCACTACAAGCGAGAATTCTCTCATCAGAACGGCAGTAGACTACAACCCTCTAGATAGAAGGAGACACAAGGGCGCCAGAGGAGCCATCATAGACCCTGGCTAGAAACCTTCCCAAATCTGTACCGAGCTATTCCCCCCATCTATCCGACCTGTATATATAACCCCTTAATAACCCTTTATATGTATGTACAATTGGACTTTTTGTAAACTTTTGTAAAAAAAATTTTAAATTTCTGTATATTATTGTTAATTTTTGTAATTTTTGTTAATTTTTGTAAATTTTTGTTTGAAAAGATGGAGCAATGATCACAAAAAAAAAAATAATAATAACGATGAATCCTACTAACTCGAACTTTATACTCTCTAAATAATACTTAGGATACTTTCTCTTCACTCACTGTATATAAACCTCTTGCCTCGCTTCACTACATACTGATTTACTGTTTTTATTGTATTAACCTAGCTTTTGCGCGTTTATGTTTACCGATACACAAATCTCTATGTCTACTAACACAAAATTACTAATTTACTTTTAAGCGCGATTTTATGTTTTACGATTTACATCCCTTTACTGTTTTATTAATGTATTTCTCTTCCAGACCACATAAATATATATAATATATACCACACATGCAGACAATGTTCAGTGCCCAGTTTATTATAACTGGTGCACAGTCATTCCCCTGCTAGAGAAATGCACTGGCCGCTGGCGTCCATGAGCTTCTCTCAATTTTAATATTAACTTAAACAAGTATGCCCTATAGGCATAATACAATTATCTTTAACTCGCGACTAAGCTAAACACCTGGATTCTTACTTGTGTTCGCTCTCTTTAAATTTCAACTCATGTCTTTTTCTTATCTTGAAGAGTAAGAGTCTAAGGTCCAATCTGACCGACTCTTGCTCGGACTATTGTCCAGCAAAATTTAGGCCAACACTCAACCAACCGCAGCAAATATCTCACATCATTCATTGATTAGACGTTAAACGAGCATGTGTTACCGACGCTGAACTGAGTAGGCGTCGGGTTCCCAAGCTATAGTGATATTTTTGTTTATTTTTGTTTGATTTTGTCATCCCAAGGCGTTGCACGAGGTTAGTCTTTTTGTTTGTCCCAGTCCCATTTTTATGCATACATGTTATTACTATTTTGTCTATTTACACCTATATTATTTTTATACTTTTTAAATTATGTCATTTTTTACCTAAATTCCTGGATCTGTGTCTTATACACATCCACGGCAGAGCTCCGTAGCCTCCGGCCGCTGCGGAGGGTTTGCTACTGTCGGTTGAAAACACTATCAATCCTATTCAAATTATTTATTTCTATATATCAAAAGCGCCCAAAAGTCGTGATCCACCATCATGGCTTCTGGCCTAGCCCTCCCCAAAACCACAACTACCCCCCAAGATACTGAATCAGACTCCCCAGACTTAAAAAAATACGAAAAATATGATTTTCATCCATTCCAAAGATCTGGTCGCACTCCGCGCTCTCCAGAAAAACTATCTGAAAATTCCACCCCTAAACAACCTAATACTAAACAAAGAAAAAACTCCAAGGAAAGAAAAGAACTGATTCGACGTCCAACTCTCAAACTTACAAAAGATTCCAATATATCTCCAAAAAAGTCGCCCCCTCCACCCCTCGCGAATGTTTCTATAAATGTTCGAGAGCGCGCTAAAGAACTAAATCGCTCTACAGATTCAAATAACCCAGTTCATGATCCAAAAAAACCAGAATCTGATTCCAAACAAATAAATCTCGAATTGGAAAACACAAAACTAGCGGAAATCATCAAGAAATTAGAGGAAGAAAACTCCCAACTTATGGCCATGATTGATAAAATGACAGATCAACTAACGTCACAATCTAATCTTCTCAGTGCCCAATCTCAACAAATAACAGGCCTCCAGTATCAGATAGAAGTATTACAAACTCATTACAGCATACCAGCCTTAAATATGGAAACAAATGCTAATTCTTCCTCCACTGCCCCCCAAACCCAGGAAGAAAACCCAAAAATGGCTAAAAGAAGACGCTCTATCTGCGACGATGATTCTTCCGAAAATATTGTCCCACACAATCCAAAAAAGGCACTTACTGATACTCATATTACACCCTCTACATATAGACCCCCTACCCCAATTGCTGAACCAAATAATATCTCTGCTAATATGGCTGAAACTCAACACCAAGCACCCTCAACACCTCTAAGTTCTCAACATACACAATCAGCTTACACACAGCCATTCCCTGGCTCAACATATAGACCACCAACCCCAATTGCGTCAACCTCTGCCAATTCTCTCCAGCCAAAGACTTCCACCTCAGCCCCTACACGCGACCCAACAAATGTCCCACCAAAAATCCCCCCGGTTGTACTACGGAATAAAGCCAGATGGACAATATTATCAAAAGAATTCTCCCTACGTGGGTACCAATACACTAAAGCTGTATCAACCAGTGAGGGCATGAGATTCTTCCCTTCTACGATAGATTCTTACCGTAAAATCACGGCATTCCTCCAGCAAAACGGTGAACAGTTTCATTTCTATCAGCTCCCTGAGGAACGCCTTTTACAGGTGGTGATTCGTGGCATCCCGCTTGAAATTGACATAAAAGAGGTGGAAGCTGAAATTAGACAAAAATTTAACCCAACTCTAATAACCAGAATGAAAAAAGGCAAAGATCGCACCCCCATGCCTCTCATTCTGGTAAAACTCTCCCCTCAGGAAAAAGAAATCTATGAAATTGACAACCTCTGTAACATCCGTGTTAAAGTCGAGGCCCTTCAAAGAGATGGTAACGTTGGGCAATGTTACCGTTGCCAAAAGTTCGGCCATGTAAAAAGTAAATGCACAGCCCTTCCTAAGTGCCTGAAGTGTGCAGAAGAACACCTGTCTAGAGACTGCACTAGACCTTCCAAACCTTTTGACCCAGTCTGCGCTAATTGCAAGGGAAACCACACGGCAAATGCGCCGATCTGCCCCAAAAACCCAAACTCCAAAAATGCAGCCCCAGTAAACCAACAAACTAGACCAGTAACCAAGAACATCTCATATAGCCAAGTCGCAGCTACGTCTACCACCACTCAACCAATGCTACAATCTCCCCCAAACATCCCGACAAATGTGTCTAATCTTTTCATAGCCATCACCTCCACCCTAGCTGCTATTGAAACACGAATGTCCCAACACGACAAACTTATCCAGGGTCTGATTTACAACCAAAACGCTATACAAAATTAAACCACCCTCACTCAAAATACTATCCTGGAACGCTAACGGAATTGGTAACAAAAAACTCGAATTTGAGGCAACGATTCTTGACCTAAATCCAGACGTAGTATGCATCTGCGAAACCAAACTCCCCGATAATCAAAAAAACTTCCAATTCCCAGGCTACACCACATACTACCTCAAGGCAGAGCTGGCGGTGGCACAGCCATCTGTATCAAAAATAATATCGAGCACTGTTCTGCCCCAAAACTTACACTACACACCCTGGAAACTTGCTCGGTGTATGTCGAAACGTCCTTCTCAGGTAGAATCCTTCTAACTGCAGCATACTACCCACCCGGCAAACCGTTCATATCCTCAGACTACACCACTGCATTCAATAACCCACACCCAATTATCCTCGCTGGCGATTTGAACGCTAAAAAACCAATCTGGAACTCAAGAACATCCAACTCTAAGGGAAATAAGCTTGCTAATCTGGCGCTAACTCACCACTGGGACATACTGGGCCCTTCTGACCCTACTTTCTTTAGAGCCAATGTAACTCCAGATGTTATTGATATCCTAATCACGAAAGACATTCCTTTTAACCCCACTCTGGAGACAATTTCTGACACATCATCCGACCATAATCCGGTCTTAATCACAATAGGTCATCTTCAGCAAAAATCCAACCAATCATACCACACAAGAACCAGTACTTACTGGCTTACCTTCAAATCTATAATGGAACATTTCCCGGTCCCCCAAATTCAACCCTCAAACAAAAACCAAGTCGAGCGTATGGCTACCGCCCTAACCAACAAAATAAAAACTGCAATAGAAAACTCAATGAAAACCACCCATGTCCCAGTTAGCGCCCCATACCACCTCCCAGCCCGTATCAAACTTTTAATCAGAAATAAAAGAAAAGCAAAAAAATTGGCAGCAAGAACTTTATCCCACAAGACAGAGCTTCTTACAATGCCCTAAATTCCCAAGTCAAAACAGCCCTAAACGATTTTAACAATGAAAGATGGACCAATAAGCTTACAAATCTCGAACACGGCGATAAAAACACCTGGAACTTCATTAAATCCATGAGAAACCGAGACCTACCTAAAAAAAGGGAAAACCACCCCCTTCACGGCCCAAACGGTGTTGCATACTCACCAGCCGAAAAGACTGAGATATTCGCGACTCAGCTCGAGGCCCAGTTTTCCCCCAATGATGACGACTCTGACTTTGAAGAAGAAGATGAGGTACTAGAAGCTACCATCAATGACATCCTAAACACTCCCACTTTCCCTAACATCCCCCATACATCCAGCCTAGAAGTTACTTCAATAATTAAATCCCTGAAAAACAAATCAGCACCAGGTGGGGACAATATCTCGAACATTGCCCTGAAAAAGCTACCACAAAACACCATCCTAACAATCGTCATTTTGATCAACGCTATTCTCGACACACAACACTTCCCATCCATCTGGAAGCAAGCTGACGTTATCATGATTCCCAAGCCCCAACAAAACCCTCTATTCCCTCAAAACTTCAGACCCATCTCTCTGATCTCAACCCTGGCCAAAGTCGCTGAAAGAGTCATCAAGGAACGAATAGAAGATCACATTCTGGAAAACAATTCACTCCCAGACGAACAATTCGGATTTCGTCGTGGTCTATCTACTGAACTTCAAGCACTTAGACTATCTGAATACATCCAACAAGGCTTCGACAACAAAGAAAAGACCGCCCTGGTGCTGCTGGACGTATCCAAGGCCTTCGACAAAGTGTGGCACCTTGGCCTCTTATCTAAAATGAACACTCTCGCCTTTCCATCAAACCTAATCAAACTAACTAGCTCCTACCTTAGCAATCGTAAATTCAAAGTCAAATTGGGCTCCCACTACTCTACCCTTCATACGATCACAGCGGGAGTCCCGCAGGGCTCTGTCCTAGGACCCACCATATTCAATTTATTCATGACTGACATCCCACCTACCCCAGAGGTTCAATTAGCACTGTACGCAGATGACACAGCGTTCTTCATAAGACACAGAAATAACAACGTCCTGAAACATAGACTGCAAATAAATAGCTCTAGACAATCTAGAAAAATGGGCTAATCGCTGGAGAGTGAACATCAACCCATCCAAGACGCAAGCCATTCATTTCTCTAAGGGTGGCTGCGCACCTCCAGATAGACTTGAATATGATGGAAACCCGATTCCCTGGCTCAACCAAGCCACGTACCTGGGCTTAACATATGATAGAAAACTCACATGGAAACCCCACATCGAAAATGCCATAAACAAAGCCTCCAATTGCCTGAAAATGCTAAGACCAATCACCTACCCTTCAGGCAAACTGAATATAAAAAATCGTAGACTTATATGGACATCAGCTATCAGACCAATCCTCACATATGCGTGCTCTGCCTGGTGCACAGCCGCAAACTGCCACCTCAAAAGGTTAGACACCTTGCAGAATAAATACCTGCGACACATTACCGGTGCCCCATGGTTTGTCCGTAATTCAATTATCAGAAATGACCTCAAACTGCAATCGTTCAGTGACCACATGCGCAAACTCATTACCGACACAGCTGATAGAGCCCGCCTGAACGAAAACCAAATCGCTAACAACATCACAAACTACGACTCCTCCACCCGAAGACTATACCAAGGTATCCGAGGCTACCTTAACTGGGACCCCGACTAGAAATAAAATCTGTAAACTCATGCATGCACATTTTTCAAAAGTAAACCAATGTAACCAATAGACGTCTACTCCAATTAATTCCTTTCTACACCAAACAATTGTGAAATAGCCAAGCCTTCAGCCAGACACTGTAAGGAGTAGAAGTCAAAATTTGAAAAGATGACTAATCCCAAAAACAATAAAAATAAAAAACTAAAAAAAAAAATAAAAACAAAAAACGATAAAAACAATAAAGAAAAAAAAAAAAAAAGGTATTAATTTTTGAAACTTACTAAAATCCTATTAACCATTTCCAGGCCATTACAACATTATGACATACCATACTGGCGATAAGTATAAGTAAGTCGAAAGAAGTGTTAACCTATGTTCTCACTTCCTAGACAAAGCGTAGAGCAACAGCCTCACCCACAACATTAAAAAAAAAACATATTCTGGTAAAAATTTCAATTTACATTAAAACTCCCACACCTAACCAACTGTTAACACGCTGGCGCTAGCAGTTGGAGAAGGTCTATTTTCCTACACTTAATGACACAACAAATAATTCAAATCAATTTATTATGTTTTACCAAAATATGCTGGAGCTAAGAGTCAAATTGACTGAGCTCCAAGTGGGTAGAAATGAAAAAATCTACTCGCATTTCTTAAAGAGGCAACAGACCGCAGCAAAACCTTCGCAGCGGCCGAAGGCTAAGGAACTCGAATTTTGGTCAGAAATAGCATCTTATATGTATAAGCATAGGGCCTTTTGTATGTTTAAAATTGATAACAAGCACATGATTAAAAATATTCAATAAAATATGGTATAAACACATTATGATAAAATTAGACGGACATACAATAAGCACTAACCTCATGCACGACGAATAACAGAAAGTTGAAACAAAATCACGGGATAAAAACAAAAAACGAAGCATAAAGGGGGTCCGACGCCTACTCAGTTCAGCGTCGGTGTATCCTGTCTGCTCGATTTCACAATGCACGATGATGATGATATTATGAATAATTCACTTAGTAACATGCGGTCTTTTTAAAACCACTTTTCCTGCCTAGGCAGGTAATAGTGGTACTTTTCCTGAATAGGCAGGGAAAGTGTCAGCTGCTCCATTTTTTTCATCTTATTCTTGTGATTTTAAGTTATAAGATATTTAAAATTACCTTCGTAACTTACTTATATAAAGGTACAAAAAATTAGGATATAATATATCCTAATTTTTAGTAAATATTATTTAGAAAACCAACAAAATATATTAGAATAAAAATTGTATTCCTTTGTTGTTTTGCCGTTTCGAATCATATGTCACTGCTTGTCATTAAAATAATTTTAATTTTTTAATTAAAAACTCACAATTCTGGTTGCAAATTAAATTTTTGAAAATTGCTACTCTAAAATGTTCTCCATCTTCAGTTAGAGGATGTAATGTTTTCATTTGTGAGCAAATCCCTGTAAGAAAAAAATAATGTTAGTTACATGAACTACTGCATAATATTAGATATGTGTTTACCTTTCGCTACAGAAATGATTAAGGATGATGTCACATATTCACTTCCAGAAAGTTTCTCGGTGGCATCATTGAAGGGTTGCAAAATGTCACGCAGGTCTTTTAAAATTTTGTGTTCATCATATGTTATAGCTGGTGGTGCATTATCTATTTTTGAAAGGGCTACTAATAGTGAATCTTTTACTTCTATAATTCTTCTTATCATTAACAGCACACTGTTCCACCTGGTGCTTACATCTTGAAGCAATTTTAATTCAGGTTCCTTTCGACTTGCTTGCTCAGTCCTTAATATTTCCATAGCATTGGGGCTACGTTTAAATCGGCCCACTATTTTCCTGCATTTAGATAAAAGCTCATCTACTGATTTGACTTCCCTAAAAGTATCTTCCACAACAAGATTTAGGGTGTTTGCTGCACAAGGTAAATGTGGCACACCCACCAAACTGACTGCTGCTTTAATATTTGCAGCATTGTCTGTGACTAAGCATACCACTTTTTCTTGTAGTCCCCAATTATTGATCATAGTCTAAAAACCAAAATACCAGAGTAAATACATATATAGGTAGTTGGGTACTGGAATTTGTAAAAAATAATACTTCCTGTTTTTATATTAATTTAGTTAAATTTGTATGTATATTATATTTGTATATATTACCTAGATACTCACCTTAAGATATTCTGCAATGTTGC